CACAAGTCTTTTCCACAAATGACGGATGCTACTAAGAAGTAGTGCATGTTGCTTTTATATGTCACAAACATAATCACATTGGATTAATTTAAAAGTTGTGAAGATTTCAGTTAAAATGTAGATTATGTAAAATGTAAATTAAGTGTATATAGGTCTGGATGGTATCATGTGTCACTTGCATCTAAGATACAAGATATGTTTGAACCTTCTCTGTCCACTCCCTCACTCTGACTCTGGAGAGTGAGGAGAGAATCTCCTATTTCCTTGTAACTGCTGCAACACCTGTCTTACAATGGGCTAAGGTACAAGACTTCTCTTATTTCCTGTTAATTGTAAGATATTGGGTGCCAAGTTTAAGACACTTGTAGATAAAATATGCTAGCGAATCTTATGGAGAACTTCTTTCCTGCCCCCTCAAAGTGGTGTTTTCATTGGCTACCACCTTGCAACCATAGAAAGATGCCTATGTTTAGCTGAAGCAAGTTTGATGGTAATATCTTTTGAGAACTTCACTGAGATTTACGTAACAGGGTCGAAAGTGATCTGTAGGAGCTGCCAGAAGAATCATAACCTAAAATATAAACCAAGAACCACAAGCCCAATAACGCCACCTTCCCTAAAAGACCAAGGTTACTTCAAATCCCAGCCAGAATTGACAGTTACAGCCAACTCACGTCTGTACAGCTGCCTCTCTATCTAACGCATCTTGGATAGCTTAGCATCTGCAAGCTTACAGGTAATCCAATTAAATTATCTATTAAGGTCTTGAGGAAATGCTGATGAGCCTAATTTAACATACACTAGCTTTTCAGAGAAAGCAATACCCATAACAGCAGGGAAAAGCCAAATCAGAGCGCACCTTTTCACATCTAAGAGTGTTCTTATCTCTGCTTAGCTTTGAGACGTAAGGAACTGATAGCAAAAACAAAGTCAGAACTGCTACACCCTTCTCCTGACCTGTGTTTTGTTTAGTGTTTAAACTAACACTGATACGGAGCTCCTTTCTATGACACGAAGCCAGAATGGCAGACAAGGTAAATCATTTTATGAACTACTGTAGGTTTTGTTACTGTATATCTTGTCCCAGCCTTTCAAAACCTTGCAAAGGGATGAACCCTGACAGGTACCACATGCTATCTCACACTGGCCCAACACATCACTGTTACAAGCCATTTACAGCACACGGAATGCTGTGGGTGTGCCTCCACCTGGTCACTTGTAATCGGGTGAGAGTACAGGAATGTGAGCCCTAGCCTTGGGCACTTGCATGCCAAATGTCTATTGGTTTCAACGTGGGAAGCAAAGCTTTTTCACGCTGTGTGGCAACTGAAACAAAGACCTCTTGTATGGCATTGCAGCCATACAAGGCAGTTTGTTTTCTATTGGGTAGAGAAGATTTATTGCATGAATTCCAGCTGACGCATCATACTATTCTTTAGTTTTAGTGTTAATTATTTATTACTTCTGAAAAGGTACAAAAGAGTTAATGCTGGGCCTGAATTTAATTCTATAATTTAACTGTCCCTATTTCAGAGAAGAGGGCTGGTGCAGCAATTCTGAAGAGGGCTGCTTCTGAACTGCACTGAACTTCAGAAATCACGGGAAGTAAAGAATACTTTGGATAAGTGGTGAGTAGCGCCTAGAAGTTGGACTTGATATTTTGGAGAAACTTCTCAAGTTTGGCAATGTTCTCAAGGGTTTGGCTCGGGGAGGGAGGAATAGATTTATCTTGATATAAACTAATTTTGTGAAATTGGTAAAGTCAAGTACTCAGCTTCTATATAAGCAGTCATTAACTCTGAAATCTCTGTCCTCCTCTGCTGGTTAATTGATTTCTACAGAAAATAGCTTTAATTTTTCCCCCAATTTACATTAAAAAAAAAACAAAACGTGCTTCATTTTGAAATAGAAATTCAATCTTTCCCCTTCTCGGTATAAGAGATCAGCTGTGACTTGTATGAAATACTGAAATCCAGACACAATAATTCATCATCTTGTAAACACACTTTAGGACTGATACTAAACATACAGATAAAAAGAGACATACACATTTTTTAACACTGTCAACTGATTACTTAGGAGAACAGGTATTTCTGGAAGCTGCGGTGTCTACAGTATTTGTGATGAACTCTTGCTAAATGGTTCCATACCATAGGAATGCTCTGCACCAAATTAAAGTTATGCCATACCTGATTCCAGCAGTGGTATTTTAACATTGGGATGTCACTTGCTCCAGAATAGATCTAGCTTAACAAAACTACTCGAGAATAATCCCTTCAGTTCTTAATGGAGTTCCAGAACATTTATTTTAACCAGATAGTTATGTCACTTATCAGGGTCTAATACATAAATTGTTCCTGATTTGGGGGACACAGAAACTTGAAACTTCTCACTAATCGATGGTGGATTTCTTTTGTGTGAGTGTGTATGTGTGATTTACAGTACCAGAGAGAGAAGCACATTCATTGCCATACTTGCCACAAACTAGTGACGGAAGCATCTAGTTGGAAGCACAGGGAAGACCTCAGCTGATGTCTGTCACCTTGCAAGGATGGCTCCTTTACTGAAAGGCACAAGTGGTCAGCTGCAGAGAATTTTGGCTTAGTTGAGTGGAAAAAGGTAGCAGCTGTAGCTCTAAAGCACACAAGCTACAGGACAGAAGTGAGATTCAAAGCTTCTCCATCCTCTTTCACTAGAGTGTTAGTGTTGAATCAAAAACAAAAACGGTCTTCTGGAGCACGTACCTATTTCCAGTACAGTGCATAGGGAACCAAAGTGCTCAAGTTGGACAATTTTGCCTTCTCAAAGGCAAAAAATATTAGATGTCAGTCTATTATGGCCCAGCAGGACTTCTTGAGTCCGTCTGCATCATTTTTACACCAATGTGTTTTCCAAAGCTTTGTGATTCACACCCTATTGCAGTGTTGTCTCTCCTACTGCTTCTTTTTACCATTTTTAAAAGAAACCAAACTACTCTGTGCTGCACCTGAAAGAGGTTTACTCTGAGGAGTGCAAAGCAGTCCCTGTCTGTCCCTGAAAGCCTGTGCTGGTTTATAATTACAAGTTAATTTTGTGAGCTGGAAGCTGCGCTTCTGACTTCCACATTTTACCTGTCCATGTCTGTGTCAACATTGCACTGCTATAATCTCTTTATAGAGGTAAAATATTTTGTACTTGGGAGACAGACGTGGAAGCCATGTATACCCATCATGAGGAACCTGTGTCAGCAGAATCTTTTATATGGCAGATAAACTGCCTAAACCTCACTTGTGTTATGCCTTGGGAGGAGTGACCAGTGGCTTGGTGTAAGTTCACACCATCTAAATAAGATGGCAAATGGGCCCTGACTGGCAGACTGGCCCAAAAAGTGCTTTACGCTCAGACTGGACAACAACAATAATTGATCTATTCCAGGTCTTCTACACTTCTTAGTTTTGTTTTGGGTTTTTTTTTCTTAAAAAAATAAAAATTCAGAACCAAACCTAGATTACCGTATGTGGGTTTATTCACACCTCTCAAGTCAGCTTGCTGTGCCAGTCATAAAGTTCCTGCCCTGTGAACTACTGAGTCATCCTCATGTGGGTCGATGGCCTTGCTGGACTTGTCAATGCAAGGGGAAGACTTGCTTGGACTGGTGTGCGGACTGGTGTGCCAAGCATTGAAGAATTAACAAAAGGGACCACTTGGACTTGAACAATTAGCTTGGCTTATCTTAGGTAACGGGTGATGGCCCACCACTATCAACTAAGTGACACCTGGGGTACGAGAGAAGGGCGCACAGCCAGATGTTGCTTCAGATAAAAACAGAAGGCCCTCCATAAGCACTAAGCTCCCCACCCCAAGGGTGTGACAAACTGTTGAGTCCCACTTCTGACGACACAACATACCACGCCAAGAACCAATCCACACATAATAATTGACTTAGTCCCACCTAAAAAAAAAAGATCTCAAAAGTATAAAAATTGGCACTTGAAAATCCTCTCTGAGGAAGGAGCCAAAGGAGAACCTTACCTGACAGACAAGTCAACCTTCAAGGCCTGAACCTCTCCTCCCCCTCCTTGCCTTTTTGGTAAGAGTCGCACCTCTGACTTTGTCAGACATATCCCCGGGAACACACTGTTAACTAAAGCGCTGAACTATTACCTTGAGCTCAACTTTTGTAGATAGTGCATTTATCAGTGGCAATCCCGAATCTGTGATACCTGTCACTTAAATAAATTACCTGTTGCTTCAGCTTTACAAAACTCTTTCAGTGGAAGTCCCTGGGAGGGCTCTGACAGGCAAGCATTGACTCTGGTAAGTGTCTACATATCTAACCCCTCAGACATAAATCGTTGACCAAGTCTGGGACTAGGAGTGGATCCAGACGCACCTAGGCTCCTCTCTGAGAGGGAGTTTAGAAAGCAAGGGGGTCCACTCTGAACCTCGTGACTCAACGGGAGGGCTTTCCCCTTGCTGCTTATCAGACTCCTTGAAACACTTTAACCCTTCAACACGACAGTCAAATTGGCGTAGTTGGCAGGGTTGCCATGGATAAACTGCTACAAAAGTATAAGTGTGCACCATCCCAAGCAGGAATTGAATGGGTGCAAAAACTCTGGAAAGATGAGGATAAAGTGGTGGAACCGATAAAACAATGTCAAAGGCAGAAAAAGATAAAAAAAACTAAAGGCAAAAAAATTGTTTGTGCTGTATTAGAGGCCTGTCTATCTAGCATGCAAAAAGAAATTAGAGTCCCTACCCCCAAAAAAATCGCAGATGTAGAACATGCTACACTAAAATTAGAAAATGAAGTATTAAAAACATCAGTGACTTTTGAAAAGGAAAGCCAGAAGAAATTGGAGACACAAACAGACACCCTGAAAAGTGAAATTAGTAAACTCAAATTGCAATTGTCTTGGGTCAAAACATGAGAAAAACATTTACAAGAAAAATTTAATCTCTCATTAAACCAGATACCATCCTTGGTCTCAGCTAAACAAATCCACCATTTAATACAGTGTGCGGATCCTGAGACGTGGGACGGAGACATCTGGGACAGTGATGATAATGATGAACTGGAGGAAAATTCTGATTATATTTTGGCCCCAGAACCTATACCTATTCGACCATTGATTAAAACAGAAACCACTGATGAGGGTGAAGAACAGGCTTGTACTATTGTGCGAACCATCCCATGGTCTCTTGCTGAATTGGTGAAATTGCAGGAAAAATATTCCAGGCATCCAGAGGAGCCTGAGATGGAATATGTATGTCGAGTCTCCCTCACCAGGGGAGACCGAATCCTCTTAAATGAGGAAGAAGCAAGAGGCTATGAGGGCCCTGGAGTATTCCTAACTACTACTCCGGGTGATCATAATTACTTATTAACTCTGCGGTCTGCTTATTGGGCTGGCAGCATAGACTTGCAAGACAGAGGAGAACCTCTTGTTATAAAAACCTCAGGGTTCTCTGATTTCGTGACAGCCATACAAAAGGCTGCCTGCATACAAGCAATGCATGAGAGGGATGTGTTAATAAGATCCCCAATGTTAGACCCCATTGATCCGGCAAGATTAATTCCATTGATCTGCAGCCTCCCAGACAGCTGGAAAACATCCGTGGGCAATGTGCAAGATCGACTTTAAGTCGCTCAACCCAGACAAGGCCAACGCCCACGTCTGGGGAAAGATCAGGATCAGGATCAAGATCAAAATCAAGTAATCACTTGGAGTGAATTTGTACAACACATAGCGAACTATGGGCGCCGGCTGGGATGGATCAGATCCACCCAGTTGTGTGGTCTGCCACATTGACGCATTTCCCAGATTCACAGCCCTAACGCTAAGCCAGAATTCAAATTAAAATTTGATAGGGACCATAATGAGCTCTGGCGTAAAGCTCAAGCTATGTGGGTGTCACAACATCTATTAATTGGCATATCCACAACAGACCTCAAAACTCTGATACAGGCATTAAGTCATAAATTCAATTCAACAAAGAAAGGTCAGCTGGCAGAAAACAAAACAACTCCTGCTAAAACTACACCCTCAGCCCCACAATAGGATCTAATTGATTTAACAGCTACCCAGGAAAAAAAACGTGGCAGGACTCTGAGCCACCCTGCCCGGCAGATACTAGCTATACAGTGGCTCTGTAATATACCTCCCGAACCTGTCATTGCCATTCTGGTGGGACCAAGGTAAATTTTTGTAAATTTCCTCATTGATACGGGGACTCAAATTTTGGTAATCACCGAGGAGACCGCAACATGATTAAATGTAAAACCTGGTCGCCATAAAGTAAAATTTACAGGAATTTATAGAGTCATAAGGTAATGCTCTACAGTAAAACTTACCCTGTGACTCCCAGGTGAACAGGATTAACCCCCACTGAAGTACTGGTTGGTGCTGCTAACATCACTATTTTAGGATTTGATTTGTTGAATGGCAGTGTGGAAACTCCCCGATGGTTCAGTCTGGGGTTTTGCCGGGCGAGAAATTAAAAAGAATGAGCCTAAAAAAATAAATTGATTAGAAATGTATCATTGACCAAGTCTGGGACTAGGAGTGGATCCAGATGCACCTAGCATCCTCTCTGAGAAGGAGTTTAGAAAGCAAGGGAGTCCACTCTGAACCTTGTGACTCAATGGAAGGGCTTTTCCCTTGCCACTTACGAGGCTCCTTGAAATCCTTCAACGTGACACCTTGCCAAGGCTAACAATTTGTTGGAGTCAGTTGGATTGCATGTCCTACTAATGAACTCACCCTATACATTGCAAAATTAGCTGCTGGATAAGCAGCAAACTGGAGCTCTGATTGCAATGCTGAAATGGAAGGTGCCCCTGGCCTGACATAAATGAGCTTTTCCTGATTCGTGGGTCAAACTACAAGCTAGGGAGCAGACAGATCTAATCTTCCATGATAAAGAATGAATAATGAATGAATATTTCTGGATCCACAACTTCAGCAACTTACCTGACACTAGCAATATAAACTTCAAGGGGAAGGAATACACTTTTCCACCCTACCTGTTTAAAACTTTTCAGTGAATGGCCACCAGCAGCAGCAGTGCAAATCTCAGACTTTCATTCCCTGAAGCAGAATGCTACTTCTTCAGATTTTTGTCTAACAATGCAATCCGAAGATTAGGTTTCTGCTTGCTGTAATCACGCATCTCTTCCCTGCACGCAAGTCACCGAAACTGCAAAAGTAACATTGACAAATCCGTGCAGGATTTCAGTGATTTCTACTCCTTCTCCAGTCCAGGTTTCTTACTTTTTTGCATCACATTGTATGTCTGTCCTGGATATGGTAACATTCCTTTTTCTACAGCCAAGTAGATATGTTCAAAAAGTTGTGAAAGTGGGGTTACCCGAAATTTAGAAGGGACACTTCAGTCTGAACGCTTCCGCAGATGGTGCACTGTTAGCAATTAAACTTCCCAGACCCAACAGACATATCTCAAAAGCATTTTAAAGACTGCTCAAAGAACAAGAGGAAGATTCAGCTGTATTAAAAAAAGTGTGATGAGGGAAGGCAGACACAAGTTATCCTCACTAGTGGCTGAGCTGTGAGGTTGAGTTATGACTCTTTAGATGCTTAGCAGATTGCTTCTGACTGAGCCTGTGCTGTTTCTGTTTCAGTGCTATGCCCCATATACTCTTTGTCTTGTAAGCTTTTAAATTCCAGTATGATGATGCTTTGTTTGTGTTCTGTCAGGACCTTTGCTAATTTAATTATCTACGTTATCTATATATGAAATACTGTATAGCGTGTGGGTGCTGCAGTGAGCAAGTCTTGACATTGTTCTTGGTATGCTTTGTTAAATGTGCGAGGGGACAGGTGAAGCACTTAATGATGAGACTAAGCTTCTCTCTTATAAAGTGAAATACATTTGCCTTGAAAGCTCCTTTTGAATAGTAATATAGCAGGAATTGACTAAGACCCTTTGCAGCAGAGGGAAAGGAATTATTTGCAGGTTTTTGTTATGGTCTGCACTGGGAGGTAGAGAAGGAAGAAGGTAATTTTTCTGGCTTTAGCACTTACAGGATGCTGTCACTTCTCTAGCTTCTCTTACTTGAAAGGTCAGCCTGATTTCTTGGAACAATCCAAATAATGGTCCCACTACTGCCAATGTCAGTACTTCTGTACCAACGCCAGTACTACTGCCAGACAGGATTTCTTCTTAGAGAAACCCATGTGTGCGTGATGGCCTCAACACAATCTCCACTCCAACCTGCTGTTTCACTAAATTGACTGTTATGTCTGTCATAGATCATTCTCTTGTAGACTCTTGTCTACAAGACAACTTGTATTCAAGACTGGATCTATGGTTACCATAATGTCGAAGGAAGCAAAGATCTTGAAACATACTGTCATCTCAAGGTGTTGAGAGAAAAGAACCCAGTAATCCATATTCCAAATGAACTGAACAGACCCAAGATCATGCAATGAAACACACTGTAAATAACAGATAATCACCATCTCTGAAACCCTGGAAACCCATTCAGTTTCTTAATAAATGTTGATTAAAATGTCCGTTAATATTACTAGAGCACACATGGTAATGCTCAGGCAAGAATTTTCTTGACTGAGCAGTAAATACATGGACCCCTCCTTTGCAAATACTTTCGGGCAATGCCCCAGCTGATACAAGGTCTAGTAATCATTCGAATGACACCACCAGTTAATCCAAATGTCCTGGCTGCAACCTAGCCATAGTATTGCAGTTCTACCTGACTACCTAAACTCCTTTTGCAGTTGCAGTGGGTCTGATGCTCCTATTCTAACAGAGACAGTGCATCCTCCAAAGGGCCTGATACTGTAGCTTTTTTCCTTTCATGCTTTAGTCATGCCATGAATTCCAAAGAGCACGCCACCCTCTGAGTATACTGCTTAAATACAGTTAACATGTAATTTTTGGCTGCTTTTAACTGCATTCATTTTGATGCTGCTGTGCCTTCCTGAACGAGGGTCTGACTTTTGAAGTGAGTAGTTAGGCTTCTTCTACACTTGTTCAAGTTGGGTTTGCATCAGATTTGTGATTTTATTAAAAAAAAAAATTTTTCTTCATCTGAATGATACCACAACTTTCCCTCTTCCTTCCTCAGCTACTACCTGACAAGGTAACAGAACAGAAAACAAACAGCAAAGCAACAGTGAAGAAAAAAAATGGTGAGTGAATTCCCCGAATCTTCTGTTAACACATCTGGTTGCTATCTGGGGACTGAAGGCAGAAAATAACTGTTTGGAACCTCTATGGATGCTTGCAGGCATGGGCTCCCTGTCCTAAACACAGGAATGCTGCTGTTTCCTTTCTCCCTTTGGTACCTGGACTGCTAATGGGCTCACTGTGAGACTGCACCACAGGCCTCTCATTTTTTCCTGTGTTTCTTTTTACATGTATGCCTGGTTTTGAATGAGCCAAAAAGCTGCTTAGGCAAACCATTGTGGGATCAAGTGACTTTAGGATGGGTGAAAGCCTCCCTTTTATGGGAGGGACTCTGTCACTGAGGACTCTGGTAACATTTTGGAGAGGAGTTTCTGTGAATTCAAAAGGAGCTTTTGGGAGGATGCATTCTGTGGAAAAAAGCTCTGATTTTGTCCCTGACACCTTTCTTCTACAAGAACCCGCAAAGCTGTGTATTCTTCCCCTTTTTCCTCTTCTGCTCTGACATGTAAGAGAAGAGCAAAATGATGATTCTTTCCATGAGAACACGGACATTTAAACAAGGGGAAGCTGCCAGCATGAAAAATTGAGGCATGCAGAGAGTAGCATGTGTTTAGTTTCTCTAACTTACTAGCAGCGATTATAAAAGGTCAAAAAATGTGAGTGTGTTAAGGTGAGAAATTATGTGTGTATTAATCACATGCAGCCACATTATTTGTATTTGAGCCTGAACTGAGCTACTTGCACTGCACTATTTGAAATGAAACTAAATAAAACACAGGTGTCTGATTCATCTCAAATACACTCCATGTATTTTAGAGGGTTGATTCTTCTAACTTCACTCTTTTACATCTTATGATCGTTCAAAGAGATTATACATGATGTCTGGATCATCTATCTATGGTGACTTTTCTCAATATGTTCTTTTCTCAATAGAAGGCTCTGGGATGACCTTATAGCACCCTGCCAGTACCTGAAGGGGGGCTACAGGAAGGATGGAGAGGAATTTTTACAAGGGTGTGTAGTGATAGGACAAGGGGGAACGGTTCTAAACTAAAAGAGGACAGTTTTAGATTAGATATTAGGAAGAAATTCTTCACCATGAGGGCAGTGAGGCACAGGAACTGGTTGCCCAGAGAAGCTGTGGATGCCCCCTCCCTGGCAGTGTTCAAGGCCAGGCTGGATGGAGCTCTCGGCAACCTGGTCTGGTGGAAGTTGTCCCTGCTCGTGGCAGGGGAGCGGGAACTAGATGATCTTCAGGGTCCTTCCCAATCCAAACCATTCTATGATTCTATGAATAATTTTACATGCTAATAAATAGCATCTGGATTTCTATTCAGACACTGCTCAACTTGATCTGAGCCAGAAAACACTTGAAAGCTGCTGCCTGACAAACTGCTCTCAGACCGGCAGCACTTCACGGCGTTACTTGATGCGTCTTTGAGAGCTCCAGGCTAGCTGTGAGGGCTGTAGCGTGTCAGAAGTGGAACCAGCACAGATTTACGCCGATATTACCCACAGCCAGCTGGGAACTGTCCGCAGACGCACTTAGCACTCCTCCGCTGACAGCTAGAAGGTGTAGCTGAACTCCTCGCAGTTCGAAATCTCCCTGTTTGCAAACAGGTACCTTCAGAAATGACAGCTGGAAGCCTTCATCCTCCCCAGGCGGTGCGCACGACCATGGCCTGCTACACGGCAGCAGCGAGGGGTGCCGGACCTCGGCCTCCCGGGGCCCCGGCAACACCCACACGCCGCTGACATCCCAGTCGCCCTCACCTTCCCACCTCGGCGGCGCGGGA